CCCACTTTAGAGAGAAGTGAAACTAGACGGTCACAACTCTGTACAGAGAACCTATTAACAACCATAAGTAAGGAATGACAAACACACCATGAACATGTCATCTAAAAAAAGCTCTTAAAATCAATACAGATTATTAACTAACAAGTTGATTTATGACAAAACAATCCCTACATAAAACCATCTTATTTAAATTGATCTACACTGCAGACATAATATAGCTGATGTTAAGCACATTTAATTTGATTTCAATGGGAAATTTAAGCATACATTTAATTCTCACACTGAAATCAATAGGACAGTTACTTAACTTGGCTAGATTATTCCCTTTTGGATTATATATATGATTACTTTATTCAGGCTGCCAATGTAGCCAATGTATCATGTAGAGAGAAGTGGGGAGAGAACATAGGCTAAAACTCCAACATTACAAAGCATATTTCACCATCTTTTCCTCTCCTCTAAAAACCTTTTCCAGGGGAACCTATTACCCTGTATAGGGTTAACTATTTCTATAATGAAGATCTTGGGGTGCATGTTCTGTTTTGACTGAAGCAGACCAAGTATAGAACAACCCAGATAACAAGGTCATGATACATGCAAATAGTCAGGACACCAAGGTTTCAATGAAGGAAAGACCAAGCAGGCGCGGCCAATGAACAAGTAGGGGTCAAAAACACAGTTGAACAGTCAGTTACATACATAATCCTGAAGTGGGGTCAAGTAGCAGTCCAACAGACAGAAGCATAGAGCATCACTCATCAAGGAAAGGCCTAGGAATCAAGGGCTGCAGTAGTGCTATCTCTTAGCACTGGTTAGGCAGACACTGCAGGATTTTAGCAATATAGCCTGCTGAGCCCCACTCAAGGTTCATTTGTTAGCCTCCCTTGATCAGACTTCTGTTTCTGCAAAATTTCTTTCAGCAAGCAAGCACACACTCCTCACAGGAGCCCTGCTTGCCTGCCCGTCATGCTCCTGGATGTCAGCGGGGCACTCTGCCTCTGCCCCCACATCAGACCCCCTGCTCCTGACAGGGATGGACATGCAGCCATCTCCCCTGAGGGTCCTCCCCCTCCTCTTAGTCTTCTGCCATGAGTGATTTGGTGGCATTCATTACTGGGAGTGCCAGTTCATCCTCAAAGGAGGAACCCTGGAGAAGAGATATTGCGGAAGAGAAATCTCTTCCATCAGCAGTTTTTATTCCACTGGTGGAAGATACTGCTTCATGGAACCCAAGTCTCTCCTAATTACATCAAAACAAAGTGAAAACAATGTTATATTGATCACACTCCTTCACAGCCCCATGTTTACACAAATGTGCACACAGAACTTTCTCATGCACAGGCAAAGAAATGTTCATGCACATCCACTTCACCCACTGATCTGAGTAGAGAAGCCTTTGTGGGTGGGACAGCTTTGTCTTCTGTTGTCTCTGCTATATTATCTTGGTTGTGTCCCAGGCTAAGCAGAGCTTGTGGATGAGTCAGAAGGTACAAATCTGGCAAGCAATCTGGAGCAAAAGGAGAGGACAGGAAGAAAAGAACAGTCTTAAAGGGGCCAGGCACCCTATCTTTTCTTCACACTAGGAATGCTGACTGCTTAGCAGTATGCCATTTATGGAGAATGAGGTGACAGAGTATGGTTCTGCTTCACCACTGACCTCTCAGCATCTGAGTCTGTGCCACTGCTTTTGGATCATGACAGCTTCTAAATATTACCAAAATTTCAAAGTCTTGTATGGTGACACTTGGAAGAACCACATATCCATCTGCATCATTTATTTCAGCTCTTTCCATTTATATAATTTGAACAGCCCCATGCACAAATCAACACCTCTATTTCTTTATATGCTAAAAATGAGAGAACTATTGGAATGTGAAATATGATTTTCTTTTGACAACCACTGTAAACTACCACAGCCTACTAAAAGCCAGCCAAAAAGTTCTAGAATTGCCATTAATCATCCCCTGGAATTGCAGACCAAATTTTCCTGAAAAGCTCTAATAGGTTCACAGCTTCAGCTTTTAGAATATATGTTTATCCTATTATGGCAATACTATACAGAGTGCTGTTGCCATCTAGGGTTAGTTCAGGGAAACAGAACCTACTTGTTAAAAATTTCTATGCAAACTCCCACGCTTAACCACCCACCCCCACCCCCATAATATCATCCATTAATGGAACAGAACCCTGGAATTGGATACAGGGAAAAAATAATTTTTGCCTAGTGTATGAAGCAGGCCAGAGTGCCATAAAGTACTCAAATTATTATATCATCCAGTGGAGATTCTTCTTCTAATCAATTTTTAGATTTCTTACATACATCAAGCTAACCCACCTGCAAAACAACCCACAGTCAGCCCAACAGACATTAGGGTTCACTGTGGGTTGCTGCCCCCCATTCTCCTCTGGATATGACCACAGTTCTCATAGAGGACACTGCAGAAGGAGTAAGTCTTTCCCTCACCTGCTGCCAGAAGTATAAGCCATTTTGGACTCACCACAGCTTTTTTGCTTTTTAACCGTCCTTTTTTTGTTTTTCCAGAAACACCCAACTCTTCTGATCTCCATTTTGACATCTACAACCAGTTCTTTCAAAGTGTTCCAGTGGCACCTTGGCGTGGCTCCCTGTGGCTGTACAGTACTTTTTAAAATTGTGCAAAAAGAGTGCACAAATTATTCATTTTTAAACAATGTTTTAGCTGTAGTAGTGCAACTGCAAATAATCACAGTTGTATGATTGTGAGGATTTGAAGCTTTGGCTGGAGCAATATCCAGGGTTGGTACCTGCTGTCCCTTGGCAAAAGGCATCTATCTCCCTGGACACTGTCTAGAAGTGGGTACAAATACACCCCCTCCCCACTTTGGTTTTCTTGGCGGATGTCAGAAAGTGAACCTAAAAGACAATCCAAAAATGTGAGTGATATTTTTTTGGTGAAAATGTTTTTTTTGGGGGGGGGGGAATTTAAACCTCCTTCCCAGCAAATTACTAAAAAATCCCCCCACTTTAGTTCCCATCAGGCTGCACATTTTACACTTTGTCTGGAGCCTCTAGGTGCTTGGGAAAGTGCAAGTACTGTTTTCAAGGAAAAAGGAGTTTTGACATCTTCTAATCTTTTTAAAAAGGGGATTTTCAGTGGGAACTGGGGATTTTGGACTGAGACATACACAATAGGTTGCCATGTCATGCAAATTCAGCTTTAACGCCTTTACTCAAACCCTGATCTTAAGTATAAGCAAGCCTTAAAAATTCTGTAGTACACACTTCTCCTTTTCAGTACAAAGGTTAATCCACAACAATTTCTATTTTCAAAACCACCTACTCAGGAAATTGTGCTTCTCCTTTCACATCATATCACCCACTCTGTTACTGAGAATTTTGCTCATTACATCATCATTGGCTGTGAGTCTCTGTTATGAAGTTTGCACTGTTCTTATTCAGTCCATCTGTGGTACTCCATTTCCTGTGAATAAAGAAAGTACCCAAAGAACAAACTCTGAGAAAAATCACTTGCTGTCTTGAAGAGCATGCCTTGGCCCACTATTGCAATTTAGAGGAACTTTTTTTTATATATGTTGTCGACATTTCTAAATAGATGGTAGACGTCAGAAGAACCCTACTGGAGCAGACCAAAGGCCTATGCAGTGGAGCATCAGAGCTGCATACTACAGTGGCCAACCAGAAGCAGAGTATTAGGACAACCACCTCCTGCTCTTATTCTCCAGCAGGTGGTAGTCAGAGGCACAACTGTCTCTAGTTGTGGAGGTAGTTGCACCCCACCTCTGGAACAGGCTTTACAGAGAGGTGCACATGACATCAATGCTGCTAGCATTTCAGAATCAGGCAAAGACTCCCCTTTTCTCTGGTCATTTTAACAATGGATTTTAATGAATATCTGGTTTTAAAATTGACCGCATGTTTGGTTTTACTCAATTTTAGTTTAAATTGTTCTATTTAATGTTTGTATTTTAATTTTGATATGTTTTTGGATTAGGTTAATCAGTTTTCAGTAGGTTGATTTAATGTTATTGATTTTAAAGTGTTTTATTGTTTTTATATTGTGAGCCATGCAAAGATCCCAGATATGGGCTATTGTACCTGCATATGTTGTTTGTTGTTGAGTCGCAAAGTTGTGCCCGACCCATCACAACCCCATGGACAACATTTCTCCAGGCTCTCCAACGTTTCTCTACCATCCCTCGGAGTCCACCCAAGCCCACACCCACTGCCCCAATGACTCCATCTAGCCACCTCATACTCTGCCTTCCCCTCCTCCTATTGCCGTCAATCATTCCCAACTTCAGGGTCTTCTCCAGTAAGTTGTTCCTTCTCATTAGGTGGCCAAAGTATTTGAGTTTCATCTTCAGTATCTGGCATTCTAAAGAGCGGTCAGGGTTGATTTCCTTTAAAAATGACTGGTTTGATCTCTTTGCAAGCAGCATATACATTCATTAAAGGAGGTGGTAATCAGGCCTGTTCTAAAGAAGGCGTCTCTGGATCCAGAGATGGCCGCCAATTATAGACCGGTGGCCAACATCCCGTTTTTGGGCAAGGTGTTGGAACGGGTGGTGGTGGGACAACTCGAAGTACTCTTGGATGAAACTGATTATCCAGACCCATTTCAGTCTGGCTTCAGACCCGGGTACGGTACTGAATCTGCCTTGGTCGCCCTGTATGATGACCTGTGCAGGGAGAGAGACGGGGAGTGCGTCCCTGTTGGTTTTCCTGGACCTCTCAGTGGCATTCGATACCATCAACCATGGTATCCTCCGGGATAGGCTGGCGGGACTGGGAGTAGGAGGCACTGCTTGGCAGTGGTTCCGTTCCTTCCTCGACAGCTGATTCCAGAAGGTGGTGCTGGGGGACTTTGGCTCTGTGCCATGGCAACTTTGCCGTGGAGTACTGAAGGGTTCCATTTTGTCCCCCTTACTATTTAATATCTACATGAAACCACTGGGAGAGGTCATCAGGAGGTTTGGGCTGCGGAGTCATAAGTATGATGATGACACCCAGCTCTACCTCTTTTTCAACTAACCCAGGTAAGGCAGTCGCTGTACTGAACCGGTGCCTGGCCGAGGTAATGGACTGGATGAGGGCCAATAAACTGAAACTCAATCCAGATAAGACGGAGGTTCTGATGGTGGGTGATTCGAGCTCCTGGGTAGGTGACTTGGGCCTTGCCCTGGATGGGGTTGCACTCCCTCTGAGGGACAGGGTCCACAGCTTGGGAGTGCTCCTTGACCCGGAGCTGTCCTTGGAAGCTCAAGTGACAGCGGTGGCGAGGAGCCCTTTCCTTCAGCTTCGGCTAATCCATCAGCTGCGTCCCTACCTGGAGGAAGATTGCCTAGCAACAGTAACTCACGCATTGGTTACTTCCTGGTTGGATTTCTGTAACGCGCTTTACGTGGGGCTGCCCTTGAAGACAGTCTGGATACTTCAGATGGTTCAAAATAGAGCTGCCAGGATGCTGTCAGGGACTGGGCGTTATTCTCATATAACCCCAGTCCTCTGTCAGCTCCATTGGCTTCCCATCGAAGTCCAGGCTCAATCCATGGTGCTGGTTATTACCTATAAAGCCCTAAACGGCTTGGGACCAGGATACCTAAAGGAATGCCTTCTTCCCTATTTGCCCTCCCGCCCCCTGAAATCGGCAACAAAACCTTTAGGTAACCTTCTGTGAAAGATATTAGGAGACAGAGTACCCGGAGGAGGGCCTTCTCTGCGGTGGCGCCCTGTCTGTGGAATGCACTCCCCAGAGAGGTCTGCCTGGCGCCGTCATTATATGTTTTTCGGTTCCAGGTTAAGACCTTTTTATTTAATCAATATTTTAACAAGTTTTAATATTGAATTTTATTACCATATTTTAATTGCAGCCAGAGTGGGTCATTAATTTATTTATGTTATACTTTTATGTATAGGTATTTTACTTGCGTAAGCCATCCTGAGGCTTTCACAAAGGATGGCATACAAATATCTTAAATAAATAAATAAATAAATATTAAATAAAATAAACAAATAAATAAATTTTGTCTCCAATTGTGGAAGTAGCTTGTGGTACCTTAGTAGCCTACAGTGAGATAGCTTTATCCTCCATGAATTTGTATCCCTCCCCCAATCTCAGTAAGTTGTGGCATCACAGGATATGGCCTGCCAGAAAATGCAAGGTATTGACACATGCCACATTAGTATTAGAGGTTACAGTGAAAATGTACAAGATATGAGTGACATTAGTTGGCCTAACTACCTTTGGACAATAAGAGCTTCACAGTTACTAACCCATTGGACAAGCTGAGAAGTGACCATTGAAACCCCAGTGTATAAAATGGGATCCAGGAAATAACAGTTTGATTTGTTCTAGGAACAATAGTGGAACACATTATCTATATTATTAAACATATAGGAGAACAAGGCTTGCTGAAGAGGAATCAACATGGCTTTTGGAAAAGTAAGTCCTGTTGCCCTACCCTTATTTGAGCATGTGGATAAGAGTGGCTGGTGGACATTGGTTGGATTCAGACAATATGACAAGCCATGGTGATTTTTTTTTTTTTTTACTGTTGTTGGTCTAGCTTATTTTCTGAACCCAGTCATAATATATCACCATGATAAGTCTGGTCTTTAGAAACCATCACATTTTGTTCTATGGTTTCCCCAAACCACCATGGCAAGTCATGCTATCTGAACCCAGGATCATGGTTTCCACAGCACTGATAAGAAACTACAACAGAGTCCCCTAGGAAGAGCAGCTGTTTCAGGAGCAGTTCTTGCTGTGTTGTCTGAAGTCAGTGCTGGTGGTCAGCCTTTCTGGCTTATCATAGTTGTTAACTGTGTTAAGACGGTATACAGTGGTGTATTCTATGGTTTCTTGTCGTGCTGCCTGAACCCAGATGACACAACCATTGTAGAAAGCCCAGAACATGAGAGCTGCATGGAAAGAATTGTGGTTACCACTTGCCCAAGTGGTTAGCTTAAGAATGCAGTGAAAGCTGCCCCAGTGTGGCTTAGCTGTCATAGCTGCCCCAGTGATCTTCACCCATAAAAGTGGGAGAGTGGAAAATCAGCTGTGCCCTGAACTGGGACACCACCTCCCAGCTGATTGCTCCATCTCACCCCTGAGAAAAACTTTCATGCATGAGGAGGAAGGAAGAGAATAAGGTGGGAGATGCTGCCTTGCGAAGAAGGAAGCAAATGTTATCCCCGTCCTCACTTCACTTGGGAGAAAAATCCCCTGGTGGGTGCTGCATTGTAGAACCCAGAGTGTGCCAGAGTGCCTTTCTGCCAAGCAGAAGCAAGGAGGGGGAGTGGCACTTAACATCTTTTTCACTCCCACATGGGAGAAAAGCGCACTGGCAGGCACCAGGTTAGTAAGCCAGGCACATCTAAGTGCCTTTCTTCCAAGCAGGAGCAAAAAAAGGGAGGCAAGCATTGCTGCCTCCTCTTTGCTCCTGCTTGGGAGAAAATGGATTTAGCATGTGCCAAACTCCCCAACTTGGCATCTGCCAGAACGTATTTCACCCATGCAGGATCCAGGGGTGGCTGGGCTTGCTCCTTTCTTCACACTTGCTGGAGAGAAATCACTCAGGCAAGAACAGGGAAGGGAGAATTTTGGCTAGGCAGGGATGTTGTTCTCTCTTCCCAGTTCCTGCTCCAGAAAAAGCCTCCCAAGCTTGAGCACAGAAATATCAAATGATATTCCTTTCCTTTCTGCAGTGCCAACAAACTAATTGCCCCCACCCCATGCCTGGGAGTGGATCGGGCACCCCTCCTGCTCCAAAAGTCTCCTTTGGAGCAGGAGATGAGGGCACCTGATCAACTGAGCTTCAGTGCATGAGCCCTGTTTGTTCAGCTTGACAGCCACGGTGAATGAATTGGGCTTCTAGGGGCCACTGTCAAAGAGAAGAGGCCCATTCCTCCACACAGTGTCCCCAGTAAACTACCTGAAGGAATGAGAGGGGAGGAGGACAGGGGAGAGAGGAAAGCAACCACAAGGGTCCAATTCTCTGTTGGCCTCATCTTAACTGCTTGGCACATCATGGCAACTCTTTGTGGCAATTTACCATGATGGGTTATCTTGATGTGTGTACCCACCCACTGTCTGAGTTACTTGTGAAAAAGGTGAATTCCAGGTTAGGGACAGGGAAAAGATTGCAAATAAAACCTCCATTGCACAAATCTATACATCAAATATTGTGTGCATTTTGGTTGCTACACCTCAAAAACGACCATTATATACAATTGTCAGGCATAAGGAACCCTTCTCAGCAATTGAGAATTTTTATTTTGCTCTTTTCTATCTTCCTCCTGGTGCTAAGAATACCACAGTATTTCCTCGCTGATGAGCATGAACATCACAAAAAGGGGAACTAAGGAAAGCCTTTGGGACTTTCCCCTGCAGTCAGTGGCCTTTCGTAGTTCCTCAGTGGGGGGGAAATCCCCAATTATTTGCCTCCTGACTATACTGAGCTTTAAGCATTACCTCTTTCACTTCTATTCACATCTTGTCCTGAAAAGAGAAAATTTTTCCTCTTCGTACAGTGTGTCCATGGCTTCGATATACTGGTATCAGCTTATTTTCCTAAGTCAAGGTAATTATTTTCCTCCCATTTTTATTTTCACAGCTGTTTTTTCTACATGTCTTCAGGGTTTGTTGATTTTATTAAAGATCCTTCTGTAGCTGTTCATTTTCAGCAATCACTCTTCAGAATTTGTTTTTGTGTATCCTGAATTACAGCCTGGACTGTGATTGATGTGGTTGCTGATGCCTCACCACAGATAGTGGCAACATGCCATGGAGATATTCTGCTTCCTTGTAAAATTTCCCAGAATCTACGAGTCCCACAGGGGGCAGTCTCTTGGTATAAGGTAAGAACTTGTTGCTACCTACTTTCCTTATTTCCCACATTTTACTCAATGCCTGGTAGGAATGCTACTGGATATAATCATAATCATAGAATCATACAGTTGGAAGGAGCCTAGCAGGCCATCGAATCCAACCACTTGCCCAATGCAGGACTCAAGTCACTTACCCAGATTTCAACCCAGCTTGATCCTGCTTAACTTCTAAGATTAGGCAGGATCAGGCACCTCAGGCTATGTAAACCAGAGCACTCAGAGATTCAAACAGCAGTGACTGTGCTAGAATCACAAGGATGGCTGCCGGCTGTTCCAAAGCACATCTTATACGATCCACGTGCGTGTTTGTCTGAGAAAAGTCAGTTTCTATGCAAACTGATTTTGAGATACTGACATTCTGAGCACAGAATGCCTCACTTGTGTCCTCTAATGTGCTATAACACAAGTGGAACTATTTAAACATTAAACATTTGTAGCAGGTCCATGATCATGCAAAGTTCTGGTGCTCTGTGATGCCTGCCTTGCTTTCTTTTGCGTAACTGACCTTTATTCCTATCAGTGATAACATTTAAACACAGGCGATGAGAAGCTGTGAAGATGACAGAGTGCAGCTAGGCAACCAAATTGTAGAATTAATCACTTTAAAAAAAATCTATTGAGGACCTAATCAATAAAACAGTGTATAAAGCCCCCAAGGGGCCAATTAAACAGTAATTCCAACAAATAGTATGACATTTTGGACTATAAAGTTCAAATAGCTCTAAGGTTAAATCTCTAATACGGGGTCGCTCTGAACTGTGTAGTAAATATGAACAATTAACCTTTGACTTCTGCTGCTTTAAAAGATATGATGACGTGACTGTAGGAAGTGCTGCTGTTTGTGTAGAATTAATTATCAGTCTGTAAGGCCAACCCTCAGACCATTCCTACAACCATGCAAGAAATACCCAAACTATGTAGACAGACCAGGATTTTAATAGTTATTTTATCATTATATTTTAAAATATACATACTAAGCTACTTGAATAGTAGCAATGAAGTACAAAATTCCAAACTAATGCATATTCTGCTATTTCTTCCTTGTGTATAATAAATATGTAACTGTTAATACAGTTGCATGCATGAAGGTCTTCACATAGGATAATATAAAAACCTGTAACAGCAGGTGCACAACATTTCTTGCTCTGAAGCCAGATGTGATGATGGGTAAGCAGCTGCACTCATGCACCTATATAAGCAGAGGCATGAATACATATACATCCATACACAAATACACAAATATTCATGCACAGACAGACAACCAGAGAGAGAGAGAGAAACATCAAAGCTCAAGAGCTTCTTGGTTGTGGGTCCTTATCTGAAATTCCTTGTTCGAAGGCTCTCCTAGTCAGCTCACTCGCTGGAGTCACATCAACTGCACTCAGGGGACAGCAATGAAAGAGAATCTTTGGGAGTGGCTTCCATGGCATCTAATAGAAAATGTTCTGTCTTCCACATTCAGAGGGCTGCTAGAGTGTATTCTTGGAAGGAAAGCCAGGATAGTAACCTCCTTTCTGAAATGGCACTTGGAGGGATGTGGGAGATCAGTAGTGGGGAGCAGTGATCACTAGCACTAGGACTAGCAGCAGGAGTATTTCGGTGGCCATAAGCAGTGATGCTACTCAGCTCTGGCAAGGGTGGGTGTGGGGTCACAGGAAACTACAGAAAAGCCCTTGAGGGGCTGTGAGCTGTGCACCCATGCCGCATACAAATTTACCTTAATTCACATACAGCTCAACCAAAGTACATTCATACTTACTGTTCATTTATTCTGTAAATATCCCACTGAACATATTTTGCTGCCAAAGAATGTTAAATTCTACACTGCAAGTTAAGTATTCAAACAACAGAGAGAAAGAGAGAGAAAGAGAGAGAGAGAGCAAGCGAGCAAAAGCATGTATCTAGGTAGTTTTCATGTGGACAACAAAAATGGCTCAATTTCATTGTCATGCAGTAGCACTGTTTGAAATTCATTCTATATATTCATTCATTTTGCCATCAAATGATTCAGTATTTTTAAACTTTCCACCCCATTTCTTCAACTAAACAAAGTGGGTACTCATCCATTACAATGCATTAGAATGGAAACGGGTGTCTCGAAATTCATTCATTCTAAGCTGTTCCTTGTCAGCAGCATTTTTCTTCCGTGTTGCCATTACCATGTCTTTCCACTCTATGTGGTTGTTTCAGCTGTTCATTATGGTCATTCCACTGGGAAGCTGAATTATGTTTTCAACCAACAATGGGATTTTACTATGGGCTATAATCCATAGTAACATTTTGAAATTGGCATTTTCTCTCCTTCCAGATGTGGTATAGAGATCTGTGTCTCATGCTAAATCTTAAAAAAACTTTTTGTAGTCATGTTCTAAACATTTGTGAATTTGATGTTTCAAATTATTTTGATTTGACCTAATTTCTTTTTCTCTGAACGTTTTGCTTCCTCTCTTCCATCCAAATACTCCAATATAAAAACTAAAGGTGGTAAATTTTCCAATAACACAATAGATTAAAATATTCAGCTGGTACCTGAAATTCTGTAAGTGTCTCAGCAGAACTGTCACAAGAAAGTGTCAGTATGACAAATTCTCTTTCAAATTTCTTTACGGTGCAATTGTATGCCTGTTTAGACAGTAATAATTCCTGGCTTGGGGCATGTGGGAAATTTTAGGACTTTTTTTGCCTGGACATGCATCTCATTGTACACTTAAGTTGTGTTAATTTTTACACAGAGACATTGTTTAACAAGACAGACAGAAGGGTACTTTTCAGAGGATTATTTTCCTTCTCACACACAGTTTTGTAGAGTAATTCTAAGTAACCAGAAAATCATTGAGCTTGTGATTATAGATGTAACATCTTGTATATGTAATGTGAACTTTGTATTTTCTTTTTGAAATCTGAAAAACAGTTCCTTTTAATTAACTAAAAGGTGATAATATGGATATATTTCTGCTTATTGGAAGAGCATGTTTCAAAATTTAGGGAATAGGTATGGAGGAATGAGTCCTATGATTAAAAAAAAACCTAACAAGATAAACTTTAGCTCAGATATGAAGGAGCACTTGCTTTTGTACACTGTTCCCTATTAACATCTGCTTAGTTTTATTAGGCATTTCATAATTTACTTGGTGTATTTGAGACTGGCCATTTATGCTTAGTCTGGCTGGTCTGAGAAATGTTCACCCAAGAGGTATATCATTATGTGTTTTTTCTATTGGATCGGAATGGAGAAATGTTAGAGCTGATAGCAGATGTGCAATTAAGAGCTAACCTAGTTTGTCTTGGGTGAATGTTTTATTACCTGCTACAGTGAGATGCAGGGAGAAGCACTAGAAAGGAAGATATATAAAATATTGTCAGAGGCAGGGGAGGGGGGCAATCCTGAAAGAAGGGTCAGAGCTTGTTCAGAGCTGTAGTTTATTTTCAAGCAATTAATTTACAAGAAAGAACTTGCTTGCCAAACCTAAGTGAAGATAAATCTTTTGGTCAAGCCAACAATTTACCACTAGATGTCTCTGCTGGCAAAATATTATAACTTAGCTGAGAAGGAAGGTGTAGTAAGGGAGAACTCTTGCACTGTGAACAGAATTGCCAAAAGAATTACCACTGGAACGTGCACTAAGGGAACAGTGTTAAGATGTCACAGGCCTCTTAAATTGCTCTCAAAAGGGGCTGACTTTGCCTCAGATTTTTAACACAGGCAGCCTTCTTCACTGGACAAAGGAGCCATTTGTCTCATCTCCACTGTACTCCAGAATGTGATTGATTTTTCCTGTTTCCAATTGTGTGGCTCACATTTTACATGGGCACTAGGTTACCAGACAACTGCAGGAGACATTCCCTGACCGTTTCCAAATGGCGATAATTAGCAGTGGAGCCAGACTAGGTTGGAGGCAGAGGAGTGATATGGTCCAGCTGAAGGTTCGAGCAAACCATTTTGGACTGCCATCAGTTTCACTCTTAATATGTTGCACAGCCCCTGTAACAGGCTTTGTGTTCCCTTCAAATTTCACACTTGTGGTTCTAGAATGGGCCGCTTGGCCTCTGTGCTACTCATTGTGATCCATCCCGTTCTACCTCTAGGATAGCAGTAAGTCATGTGGTGCCCATGGGCACCAGTGCTCTCCCAGACAGCTTTCTTGGAACCCACTGAGCTGTCTTTACCTCTCTCACTTTTTATTGTCTTTAAACGAAGACCACTAATGTTTTTATTGCTGGTTAGGAGCACCTCAAAAGCAAAGTAAGCCCCTCTAGCTGCTGCTTCCACAAATGCCTCTAGATCAGGGGTCCTCAAACTTTTTAAACAGTGGGCCAGTTCACAGTCCCTCAGACTGATGGGGGGGGGGGGGACTATAGTTTGAAAAAATATGAATTCCTATGCACACTGCACATTAAACATTAATTAAAATTAAAATACATTTAAAATTAAAATTAAAACGCATTTAAAAATTAAAATTAAAATGCATTTAAAAATTAAAATACATTTAAAAATGTTTGCTCCACTCCCTCGGGCTGCAGAAGTCCAAGATGAGGTGGGGAAGAGCATGTCCATATTCAAGGGACATAGCTACAACACAACCAAGGCACTAAATATAGTATTTTGCATAATGCAGCTGATGACTGCAACTGGCATTTACAAAGAATGAAGCAAAAATACTAAGGATAAATACTGCTAATGCCACTCTTAGTATTTGAAGGAAGTCAGTCCAGAACAATTCCTACAATACACAATGGCTGTATTTGGATGCAGAACTAATGACTACCATATTTTAGTGGAACCTTGCCAAAACTGGTACTGTCCAGATGAGTTGGACTACAACTTCCATTGGCCATGCTGGTTGGACATGATGGAAATTATAGTCCTCGCCGCTGCCCCACTTCCAAGGGAGCAGGAGGCCGGAGAGACGAGCACAGTGTGGTTCCCCCGGCTAGGAGAGGGCTGTGAGGAGAGAGATAAGTGCTGCTTTCTGAGGTGAGGGGAGGTGAGAGACAGGGCTGCGGCTGGCCAAGTGGGACACCTCCTGCCTCTCTACGCCGCAAGGGGAAGCATGGCAGCCGCTCTATGGTGGCGGCTTGCTCAGAGAAGGCCGCAGTGGAGGCGTGGGAGCCGCTGCCCTGCTCCGCCTAAGCCTGTCTACCCCTGATGGCTTAGCCCGCAGCCCGGGGACGTGGCTCACATAATTAAAAATATATTTTAAAAGTTATATTTTTCTTACCTTCAATCCTTTTTTAGTGCCTTCGTCTCTCTCTCTCTTTCTCTCCCACATTCCTCTCTTCTGTTTCCTGCTCCATATTCCCGCTCTGTATTCAGAGCCAGCGCATGCGTGCAATGGGGGAGGGGGGAGCCAGCACACGCACAGTTGAAGGGAGCTGTTATAATTTGGCACATGTACCAGCTCTCTGCTCAGTTTCAGAGTACACCTGTGCCGGCACAGAGCTTTCAGACTCGCTCGGAGATTGTTTTCTCTGAACAAGTCCAAAAGCTCTGAGGCGGGCTGAGTAAATGACCATGGCAAGCCGTATCCGGCCCACGGGCCGTAGTTTGAGGACCCATGCTTTAGATCATACATGGCTATCAGATACATTTGTAGGAAATTAAGATGGTGGCTAGGTGCAGGTCAGTGATTTCTTCTACTGTGCATCCAGCACAGGAGGACAGGGAAAGGAAAAAGGGATTGCTGTCACTTTTATCTAGTAAACTGGGAGAAGGGACAAAGGAAGAGGTGAAAGAGAGAAGTGGGGACTTAGGACAGCAGTAAACCGACCGAGGGTCAGGGAAGCCAGCAGAAAGCCAGTGGATACTGGTAAAGCCAGAATGGAGGAACCCGTAGAGTCAGGAAGGGTTATATACTTGTATATCAGAATTAACAGGGGCTGTATGTGTGCGGGGGGGGGGAATGAATTTATTTATTTAATGAAAACATGTGTATGCCACCTAACGGGTGTATGTGTGCGGGGGGGGGGGAGTGAATTGATTGACTGAAAACATGTGTATGCCACCTATTGTGCCACAGCTCCCCTGGGCTACTCATATAGAGGGAACTTTGGAGGAATCCTGAAAAAAGTGACTTCAGTTTTTTGTGTACTTACAGTGAGGAGAAAAAGAGGGTATATGTATTTCTATATATTTTTGTATATATACATACACAGGGGAGGGGGCATACATGGCTGGCTGCACATATGAAAGAGAGAATGGTCAGGTTGACACATCAAGTCATGTCATACAAATTCAGTCAGTGAGTTTGTACATGTCTATAAGTGAAATATGTTTATACAGTGTGAAAGAAAAAGAGCTGTGATAATGAATTGGTTGGTGAGGGTGGAACAGTGTACCTTCTGGGAAACAGGTTTCTGTTGACACTGAAAAATAAGAACCCAAAGGAATTATTTGGTTGTGGTGTTCAGATCCCTTCTCTGTTATATGCTCAGTCTTTGGGACAGGTTACTTCCCAAAGTGTCACATGACACTCACCCCAAACTGTCTTCCATGTTTATTTATACTATTACATCTCAGATTTTTTCAGAGCTGGTATAACACCAATTTTCATATGTTGTGCTTTATCCGTGGTATATATTTTGGTGTATGCTAATGAGATTTTATTTATTTTCGATTTATATCCTGCCTTTTTCCTACAATGGGCTCAAGGCAGCTTATATCTCCTCCTCCATCTTATCCCCACAACAACAACCCTGTGAGGGAGGCTGGGCTGAGAGTCCGTGACTGGCCCAAAGTCACCCAGTGGGCTCCATGGCTGAGAGGGGACTCGAACCCAGATCACCTGAGTCCTAGTCCCATCCTCTTCACCACCACACCACACTGAGTTGAAGGCTTTAAAGCAGAATATTAAATTCCAACATACTCAAATGCTGTAATTGTTTAGGAATGGCTTGTAAGTGGCTTCTACTTGTTAGCTAGTATAACTCTAACCATTAATATGACCTTGTTTTGCAGATTAGTGACAACAGTGAAGAACAGCAGGTTCTGCAATATTATAAGGCGTATAATTATTCAGAAGAATTTAATGCATCCTCAGAAGTCTCAAATGATACCTGGCATTCTCTGAAGATTACAAATATTACAAGTTATAGCAGTGGGACATATAAGTGCATCTTAAGGACACCAGTTAAAAAATACAACCAAAGCACAATTACATTAAAAGTAATAGGTAAAGTATGGTTGTTTGTTTTTTGATTTCTGTCATAAATCATTCAGATACTGTAAAGTGATGCATCTGTTTTGGCTTGTAGGCTGCCTTGATGCAAAAAATGAAAAATTTTACAGAACAGACCTTCTGTTGCTGTGCTTTCTTGGGTTTTTCTACTTGCTGCTCATCTTCTTTACTTGCGTAAGTACTTCTAGTTTGTTTTCAGCTTTCTCATTGTCCACATTTCAGGCGTAACTGTCAACATAGTCACTAAGGAGTGCATGAATAGGGCACACTCATGTGCAAAAGCTTTTGGCTTAGTGCCAGTTTCTAGCTGCTGTATACATATTCCTGCTCTTCCCTTTTTCACAACAACTGGGGATAACGGTTACACTGAAACACCATGTACAAGTGAAGCAGCAGAATGCAGTCTGTCGCTGTTGTGAGCATCAGTCTTGTAATACAGTAGCTTTATCATTTGTATTTAAAAATACATTGGGTTGAAATCAGATTTATCCTTACAGCATATATATACATACCCAAAGTAGAATCATTGAAATCAACTGGAACTAAGTTATGGGTAATTTAAGTTCCATCAATTTTATGTCTACTCTAGAAATAGCAAAATCTGGATCCAAGCCTCTGAGTTCTTCATTTCTGTATTGCATTTCTGTACCATTCAATAGCTGGGAGTCTCTGGGCAGTTCACAACAATTAAAACCATAAAACAAAGGGTGATAAAACTACAATTCACAATATATACAGTAGAAAGTATAATCAAATAGGAGCTGGCAGCAGTGCAAATATTTAAAATACAAATACCAGATTTATAGCAGAACTTGATATGCTAAAATGCCTGAGAAAGTAAGGTCTTCACCTGGTAATGAAAAGAGCAAAACAGGCACCTGGAACCAGTGGTCAATCCAGAACCAGTGGTCACAGCAGGAAAAAACCCTCTTCTTAGTAGCCTCCTAACCACAATTCCTGGAGAAGAAGATGAAGATGATCTTAGAGTCCGTACAGGTGTATATTGGAAAAGTCAATACTGGCCAGCAGTTGTTTAAATTTTTGAATGTTAATACCCACCACACTGAATCAGGATCTAGAAAGCATAGGCAGCCAGTGCAGATGGAAAAGTGATCATTAAGTGATCACACCAAGCAGCCCTTGGTAGCAATCTTCTCACCCTATTTTGTATCAACTGAATTTAGATAATTTTCAAGGGCAGTCCCATGTATAACATATTGCAATACTTCTTTGGTTCACTATCTGTGAATGATAATAAATCACAGTGCTAGAATACACTATAGTATATTTAGAAAATGGAAAAATGCAATCTCAACTATTGTGGCTGTGAAAATTGTATAGATTGTGGTTGTGTAAATATCACAAGCACCTGTTGGATGGTGCCTCTGATGTCACTATGACAAGTAACACAAGTCTCTTCTTTCCTTTTGTGCTGTTAAATTATTTTTTAAGGTACAGTCTGTATAGGTTGAGCTAGCAGAAGTCCAGAACCTCCATTCATCCTTTTAAAATAAAATGTGACTTAAAGCAAGGTTATTCTCTCCTATTGAGATTTCCTTTCTGAAATCTCTCTTTTGGTGGTCCTAGTGCTCATGGGAATAGATGAAGCCTCATGCTGACATATTTAGTAATTCTGAAGCTACTCAAGACAAGATTTAGGACTGACCCAGACATTACCATGCCACTGCATCCAGCAGTTATGTCATTTTCATTGTTTTATCCCCAGTGACACATTCCTGATCTAGATTTCAGATGCCCAAACCTGACATATAAGGGTCTCAATCCCCTTGTGCCTACTTTGTAATAAAAATGAAGCAGAAGGAACAACTGTTCAATACAGATTTGAAGTAATGTATATATTGGCCCAGATATACACAGCAAGAGAGAAAAAGAGCCTTTGCAGAAGTAGATGGCAGGAAGAGAAACAGGCCAGCAAGAAGAGAGAGTCTGTAAGCAGCTCAGGCTGCAGCTAAGCAACAAGTTTTGCTCAGAATATGAAAAAGCAGACCAGTCTGCATAGTTTTATAGTGCCAGGTTCCTAGGGGCACCTGATTCTCTGCTAAGTTAGGTGCTTCCCTTTAGACTGGGGTGAACAACTTGGAGCCCTCCCGCTGTTTTGGCCTACAACTTCCAGTGTAGTTAATTATAACTTGTAAGCCAAAGCATCTAGAGCACCATGAGTCCCCTACTTGCGCGCACACACACACACACTTAAATGCACACTCCACAGTAGGACAAAAGCTAAGTTTCATGGTTTATTTTATTTAAACAATTTATATGCCACCCCATCGCATGAGCCTCGGGGCGGCTTACAATCATAAAATCCTGCATAAAATACAATAAAAATAAAAATAAAAATCATCAAATAAATAAAATACATAAAATAAAATAGTGGACACAGCCTGGTCAATTTAAAATCAACAAATAAATCATTAACAGTTAAAATAGTGTTGGTGGCTCCAAACCCCTGTTGTCTTATATTCTGTCCATTTTATAAGGTAGTGTCACCAGAAATCAGGAAGTGGTGTATTGCCTTGTTGCTTAGTTCTCAGAACTGGACATATTGCAACTGATTCATTTATAAACCTATGATACAATGTAGTAGAGCTGTCAGAATTAAACTCACACTAAGGCTCATTGTAATATTTATTTATTTAGAAAATTTCTATGCCGCCCCATTCGCCGAAGCCTCGAGGCGGCTCACAAAACATCAATTAAAATATAATACAGAGAATAAAATATAATACAGAGAATAAAATATAATACAGAGAATATAGAGTATAAACAAATGCCTTTGCCTTATTATCATGTTCATTGACATAAATCATTTTCTATCTGGTGAGACAATAATTTGCCTCAGCTAAAAGCTGCTTTTCATACATCTGTGGGGTAGCAGTTAAACATTTGTATGTTTGGAAGCTGACAAGTTTTGGCAGTAATTTGTGCTATTCAGCCTAAGATTTGGCTTGATAAATTTTGAAGGAAATTGTTAAATGAAAAACAGAGGAAGGAACAGAAAATTGATCTTTCCTGCTCACTGTTCTGAAAATAGCTTGAATCAATAGTATAAAGCCTCTTTGTTTTTCCACACATAAAAACTATAAATACTATTTGCTTTAGGAAGCTTTGTGGATTTTCTTTAAAAAGCTCAGCTTTATGCTAGAGCTGACCATCTCAATTCTATGTGAAGTATTTTCCTCTATTTAATTTTGAGTAAAGGCTCACAGACACTAAATCAGCTTAAATGTGTGTAATATTCTCTGAATCTAAAAGAAGACCTCCCTAACCTTTCAATATAGCCATTCCTATCTTGTAAGTTATCAATTTTGGTTTACACAATGCAGCATTCCATTGTGGATTGTTTCCCATGATGGGCTGTTGTGTCATATGAAGCCAAATCAGTTCCTGCAGGGTGGCTTTTCTGAGAGGCAACAAGCCACCGTAACAACCCATAGGTTGTTCTTGGGACTGTTGTACCTATAAGGGGTTCACCCATCTGAACCTGGGGGCCAGGGATTGACAACCAATTTACTTGGCAAGATGGCAGAACCACCATGTCATACTTGCCAGGATGTGCCAAAGCACACAACTGCTAGCTTCTCCCAAAGCTAGCATTTGGTGACAGGTGGCACTGGCTTCTCCCTCTACACCAAACCATTTCAGATCTGCTTCCCCCCTCCCTTTTTTGTGTGTGTGTGCTCTATTTGTGAGTTTCCAAGAGCATCGGGCAAGGCCTCTGTCGAAATAGAGTGGTGAAGAAGATGAACTTTGGAATGATCCAGCAAGGCAATTCTTACATTTTGTTGCCTGCATCAACACAGCCACATCAGTGGTCTTTTTTAAAAAAGGTTTTTCAATCTTCTAAATTGTTTAGAAGAAGGGATCTTTTTGACTCCAGGGCACTACTTTAGAATAATTATAGCCTTAACTCAGGACTATTTAAAAATAAATCAATAGTTAAGCTGGAATTTGACCTAGGTCTTTATACCTTTATCACTTGTCCTTCTGAACTTGTTCAGATGTTGAAGCACAACATAGTTCTGGCTCTCTGATCATCTTAAGAAATGAAAAACATGCTTCTCATCTCTATTTTTACTATGACACTGTGTGATAAACCCCTGGGCCAACTCCCTCAAACAAAGTTTTGATGGTGGGGATGCAGAGGAGAAATGAAAATATATCCCAATGATTTATGACTGCAGTCTAAATGTTTCAAAACTAAAAAGTTAAATAAGCATTTTTCATAATGCTCCTATGAATGCTCAAAGTTTCTCTCTTTGCTTTTCCAGACATGCTTAAAGGAGCAAAGTCTTCCACATTATCATAAATCCAGAAAGAACCACACAGACAACAATCTCATCAGTACCTGCTGATAGGATGCTTTTCAACAACTAGTATGGAGAAGCTCTGGCAAAGACAAGTTTCTGTCCAGCTGATTTTGCTGATTCACTAGAGATGTATCAATACTCTTAGGAACATCAAGGAAGGTGGATAGAATAACCAGCTGATACACATTTTCCTCACAGAATAAACTGAAAGTTTAAGTAAACTATAAGCTACTTTCTAGAGCTAGGAAGAACTTTTTATTCACTACAGTATGAGTGCATATCAATAACAATACAACTTTTATACAAGTCTATTATACTAATTTTGGCATTTTGTCTTGTTGATATATCGTGATGTCTTACTTCCAAATGTTAATTCTTGAGATGCAAAAATGTGCTATAGAATAGGCTCAACCCTTTAACATATCAAATGCAGAATTGATTGAACTAGCCTTTTTAGTAACCATTCACAACAGCTGCTACAGTACATGTTTTCAGACAGTAATGCTTCTTCAAGTGATTGATCAGCGAAAGAATGGGAGGAAACATCACTGAAGCCTCTATCTCAAGTGTTTAGTGTGACAACCTATGTTTATTTCTGTACACATTTGAGACTGCCAAGTGAACCCTTTATATACTGGAATGACAGCATGCACATAAATGATTTCTTAAAAAGAGCTTCTGTTGAGAGATGATATCTAAATAATACTGCTCAACAATTACTATTGGTTAAAAATTGAGAAGTTGAATACTAAATTTCTTGAAAGCCACAATCTCTGGGAATAAGCTCCACTGAACTCAGTGGGATTTACTTCCAAGTAGATTTGCATAGGCTTGCAGTCAAAAAAAGAACTTTTCAAAATGTGCATTCACTGCTGATGTAACTTTGTGGAAGGCTACAAAGCATGTTTTGCAAAAAAGAGTCAATGAAGATATTGTAAGAGGTGAAAAACAAACAGGTGGAAAAAGAAAAGTTCATATATAAGCAGAAATTTAAGCAGAAAAAAGTCTACTAGCACAAGGCAGAATTTCAGACTGAGTGGAAAGCTGTGTTTGCCTATTCATTGTTTTACAGCAGGTCAGCATTAGGGAAATCTTTTCTCCTTCAAGTGACTACAGCAGTAGTCAGTTGCACAACTTCTGTGACAGAAGTGAGTGTGGTAGTCATGTGTTACAGATAGGAGAACCTATCCATAATCAGTACCTCTGAAGTCACCATGCTATGCTTAGGGGGCCTCTTCCTCTGAAACTGTGATGATGAAGAAAAACATTTCATTTTGTTGTTTCCTTGTATTGCGTTCAATCCTTGGTAGACTGTATAACATGAATATGTAACAGAAGGATTGTCACTTTGTTAATCGTAGTTGATTAATCTTATGAGTTTTAATAAACCGTTAAATGGATATAGCAATAAAACAGTAAGTGTGAAGAAAAGGCATAGTATCTTCATTTTAAGGTGATATATGCACATGGCACAGCAGTCACAAACTTGAGGCCAAACTGCATGCTAGGTTAATTACCTTAATTCAATTAGCTTGATAAATTCTATAATTTTAAATTACAGCTGGGGACATGCAGGGGAGTTATGGATTCATGGCTATGGGACTTGATCTCCTAAATTTTCTCCTCCCCACACTTTTATAAACAAATTTATTCTGGCAATTTTAGAAAAATGACAGGAAAGCCTATGTTTTCTTTTTGAAGGTCAGATGCTACTATTGGGGGGAACTAGAATCTACCTACATCTTCCTTAAAAATACACACAATTGATGCTTTACTTGAGAGAAAGGAATATTTTGATTTATAGCTATCATTTTATATCCCAATTCTTTCCTTCCAAGAAAAAAATATTTTAAAAATTTACATGAATAGTTTCACATGTTTTTTAGAAGAGGTGTGCTGTTCAGATTTTAGGTTAAAAAAAAAAAAGTCTGTTGGTTGAATGCTGGCCCAGCACTTGGAATAAGTTATGGTTATATATCCAGATGAAGAGTTCATTCTTTTATATTCAAATTAATCATCTTCCCCATATCAAAACTTTTCTAATTTAAAACAGATCTACTAGATTCCTCAATAAAATCAATGGACTTTCTTTGTTCTATTAGCAAAAGCACACTAACAGTGATAGGATATCTTAAATCTGTAAAATCACTGCTACAACATAAGATTTTGAATAGCAAGGCAACATTGAGACTTACTGTATTGGAAAGCAGTTGCAAAAATGCAAAATGATTCTTTCAACAATACTTTTGAAGCAGTTAAGAAAGTACAATATTTGCATTTGTTGATCACAAAAGAGCATCAAAATGTATTCATAAAAGTCCCTTGGAAAACCATTCTTAATCAGCTCAGAACATTGATCAGTAGGTTTCTGTATCGGGAAAACTCAGCAGGACGAGGAATTCAAGGGGTGAAAATTTACAGATGGCAAAAAATTGCATAGGATAAGTAATACCATAGGAGACAGAAGCAAAATTCAAAATCATTTTGATTGGGCAGAACATAACAAATGAAATCTAACAGAGACAAGAACAAAGTTCTTCATTCAGGAAAAAGGAATAAAATGCACAGATCTAAGATAGGTGTTACACACTATGGTGTGGCAATACCATATGTCAAAATGCTGCTGGAGTTGTAGTCATTCAAGGACTGAATATGAGACAGTAGTGTGATGTAGGCTGAAAAAAAGCAAATATAATTTTGGATGGCATCAGTAGCTGTATGGTTCCCAAATTATGGGAACTGATAGTTCCATTCTCCTCTGCACTGGTCAGACCTCAGTCCAAATATTGTGACCAGTTCTGGATGCCATACTTTAAATTGGAATGAGTTCAGAGAAGGGTAACAAAGACAATCAGAAGACTAGCAAGTAAGTCCTATGAGAAAAATATTGAAGGAAAGTAATATGCTTGTTCTCAAGAAGAGAAGACTAGGTATGGATATAACAGCACTTTTCAAATACCGAAAAGTTTGTCACACAATAGGCAACCTATTATCTAGTATTCTAGACTGCAAGACATAAAACAACACACTCAAGTTAGAGAAAAGCAGCTTTCTGTTGAGCAGTCAGACAATGGAACAAGTTTTAGGAAGATAGTAGGCTCTCTGGCACTGGAGATATTGTTGCTTTGCTGCCCCCAATGGAAAATGCTAACCTAAAGCTGCCATTAGACCCTAAAGATAAAGTATTTGTGCCAGCGGGAGTTCCTCTCCTGGGTCTAATATGGACTTCAGGAGGACACATATCATCCAGATCATGGTAGTGGAAGAAATAACTATCCTGCCTGCTCTCTGCAAAACTTACTCCCAATTTTGATCAACCCCCCCACCTCACATCTTAGCATCAATTTAAACATAAAAATGAAGTGTGTCAATTGCAAGTAATGGAATGTGATGTGTCATTTGGATCTTAATAGGAAGTTAACTATCTTTTAAACTAATCTGCTTAATTGCTTAAGAGATACCTAGCTGATTAACTGATTAGGGCTGCAATCCTATGCATACTTACTGGGAATCAACTCCATTAAACCAAGGTGGGGTTACTTCTGAGCAAATATGCAAAAGTTTCTGCTAGCAATGTTGAATCTTAATTTAAATATTTCCCAAGCTGATGACTTGGTCAAGTAGCATTAGAACAGCCTTTGGTACTATCTGCCAATACAGAGCATGGAATAAACTGACCAATGTTAAAGGCATTTTTCCTTTCAGCTCAGGTATTCAAAGCAGGGAGTTCTTGAACCTAATGGTGCAGTTTTAAGCATTGTTATTCAGAGGTAAAGTCCATGGGATTCAGTGGGGTTACTCCCACGTAAGTAAGCATAGGGGGAAAGTCAATTCTTTTGGTCATTCCCTCTTGATGAAAATATTGCTAATATTTCCTTAGGGTAAATATGTCTTAGGGTGGGTTTAAACAATGAAACAATCCATCCTGCAGAGCAAGCAACACAGTATGGGATGATTATCCTTGAGCCCATAATGTAACCAATTACAGGACTCCTGGGGGACACTGAACAAGCACCAAGGTTTCCCACTCATCCCCACTGTAAATTTTCAGGGATGCCTGCTTGAGCATCCATGAATTGCCCCAGGGGCTGTCCCATGGACACCTCTTCTTAAAAAAAAAATCCAATAATGTGCACACATAATTGTATTCATCATTATTTTTTAACCTGCTCTGCCATATTTGCACAAATCAAGTGGGACAGGTTAGTTTAGGGATTCCCTGGGGTGGATATTGGCTAGGGGAATGGTCTGCTGACCAAATTCAGCAGGTTCCCATCCTGTACGATGCCTGCCTAAGACTGCAGGTAAGTATTTTTCCCCTTTGCTAACAGAGCTGGCAGATGCTTAACTGTAAGATTGCTATTTGGGAAAGGGGGCTTTTCTGCACCCCCCACCCCACTTCATCCTTGGCATCTTGAGAGGAGATCAGTTATCTTAGTGTTTTCTCAGTTGTGAAAGTGTTCCCCCAATGCCAGCGTCAGGAGAACATTCACAATCCCCCCTCACGGGAGATCTGACATTGACAAGTGTCAAACTCAGAGCTCTATTTTGTGGGTATTATGTGGCTTTTTTAAAATGATGTGAACTATTAATTCCTAGTGGCACTAGGAGTTACTTGAAGCAGTTATTGCAAGGGCACTCTATCACAGCTATGTACCATCATGAAATCTTGTGGTTCTGTCATGGAATATATAGAAAGGCAGAGAAAGAGAAATCCTGGGGGGATGTGGGGCATGTAAAAGACCTGTTTTAATCCCTCAAAGATACAGAAGCAAAAGCCTTGTTAAAGCTGTGGATTAAAACATTCATGTAAAGGAGGGCAGGGAAATGATGCAATGGCGTTTTCTGAGCTCTCCTGGTATCTACTGACCTTCTCCACAAATAACACTGCCTTTTGGGATTAAAATTGATTTTCCAGATCAGCATGCAAAGGAAACAAAGCTAGAACAGACTGACTGAAAGAAATTACTGGATGTACTTATTTTTCCTCCAAGTAGCAACAACAGCACATATAAAATCCCCATTTCTTTATATATTAAGTGGTT